GCGGCAACACGTGAGGCTGTAGCGAGTAGGGTGGCAGGTGCAGGTGCTGGTGGTTGGGAAGCAATCGCTGCGGATTGAAGGACGACGGTTATGGCGTTGGCAAAATTGGGTGGTATCATATTTGGTAGAATAATAACAAAAAACAATAAAAAAAATGATTGCGGGTAAGTTTCATCAAAAGGTAAAGAATGAGGTTGCAGCAACGACCTTGCGCAGTGAAATGAATGTAGTGTGGCACGCAGTACCAAAGGCTTCAAAAGGAATGTGAAGTAAAGAACGAAAATCGTCGAGAACGACGAGGCAAAGGCCGTTAGGAAAAATGAGTGATTCGCAAACCAAGAACGAGTGGAAAGAAGGATGGAGCGGTGGGGACACAGTCAAATCATTGCCACAGAAGGATTCGACTCAGCCTACTGATACTAAGCCACACCACTGCATATCTCCTTTTTCATGGCACGGATTCTAGAATGCGGTTCGACATCATAGGCCATCCACTTAAATTTGAACGCGTCGTACCGGTAATTAGCACCGTTGAGTTGTCTCCACCCACACAATTCCACTTTATGGCCGAAGGCTGTGGCTAGCTCTTATCGCCAAATCAATGCACATGCATGTGTTGTGCGACAAGAGATTTTCCCATCTTCCTATTCGCATATCCGTATCTTTCGCCCACGTTGCCGAGCGTATACCCCTGATTTTCAGGTAGCGACCCAGTTTTATGTCCTTAGATCCCTGTACGGCCGAGCCAAATTCTGAAACACGCCATGCCATGTACCCGCTGAGGCGTGATTGGTTGAATGTGCGAAATTCCTGAGGTGTCCAACGGAATCCAAATAAAGAAGCCTCTCCGATTTGGACGGACGAAACCGTTGCAAGCCAAATCAAGATTGTATGTTTATGCTTAATCGTTGATGTGCGTATGCTCCGGCAGGGCGTGGTAGGGTGTCGTTCATGTGTAGAAGCGGTGATAGCAAACTACGTATGCAATCTGGATTCGCGATGCGCTTTGTGATTGGATTGATTTACGACTGTGTGGATATGTCGATCGTCATAGGTGCGAAGACGTCTCTGGCGTGACGAGGGCAAAGATAATACTTTTTGGCCGTTTATTCATAGCGCTGCAACGCGACATCCTTGCTCTTATCGATGACTTGTAACCCACGCGTTCTATTAGCGGACCTGTTGTTTAAGCAGCTCGTGTTCTCTCGTGTTTGCGCATTGTTTCGGTACATTGAGTCGTGTGTAGTTGGCCGCGGACCAAACCGCTGGAGATGACTGTTAGCACTGCTCCATGTTCCACCAGTACGGCCATACCATCAGGCCTTTTATCGATTACGCTTCCTTTCTTCAATTACAGGTTTGCTCTGTGAGTCTCGCAACTCGATATGTCAAGGGAGCTTCACAAAGCACTGTCGCGTTCTTGTCCTTGACAACTCAGGCATTTTCAGTCTGCCCTTACCCTTTTCTCCTTCTCTTGTGTCCAAGCATGGCAGTAAATGTCACTGTGACTGGCTGTTTGAAATCGATTGTTAATGGAATAGTTGTAGTGTGTAGTAGTAATGGGTGTGCGACAAGTGGACGAGACGTGTCATCTAAACCGAGCCAGGCGCCATGGCATCGTGACACCGTTAAAGGGCCGAGATTATCAACATGTAGTCACCCTCTTCCGTGTTGAGGGTCCAACTGTCCAACTTCACGGTCATGGCACGGGAAGACGTAAGCTCCCAGGATGCTGCGCTGAGAAAACAAAAGCAACTTGGTGAGAGCAGCTCGGCTGATAAGATAAGAAGTATGTCGTCATCGTGCTACTGAACATCCCCCAGCTTCGAGCTGTTACACTTAGATCTGGCAAGTTGGAAAAGAGACACACCTACCTGGAGATATCTTCGTCCTGAGTATCTCAAAAACCACATGTTCATACTACACTATAGCTAGTTGTGCAGTCTTCCACAGCATGGCGCCTTCAGATCTGTAGTAGATTTGGCTCCCGACACGATCCGGCGGTTAGCCATTGAGCGGGAAATCTACAAGCCCCCCCTCTCCAAAAACAACTAAGCGCGATCGCATCGAATCTACAATTTGCACGATCATCTCGCTTCGATCGGATTATGCGGGGAACAACCCCTCTATACGGTTGCTGGCTTACAACCACGCACGAGTAACACCAATGGAGTCAATGGAGCTCTCATCATGACGTCGCGGAGCATGCATGTTTAACCAGGAATCAGTTCTCAACAAGCATGATTTAAAAAGGACGGGTGGAGGAGGTGGTGTTTGAGAATTGAATTTAACTAGTTGAGCTTTGTACACCGCGGCTTCCAAAGTGTGCATACTGATTCAAACCTTTTGATTGAACAAGCCAACATGCCTTCTATGAACTCTACCGTATGTATTTCACGCCGAGAAAAGCCAAAAAGGATATATACACAGTCCAGGAAACGAAAAACAAAAGGTCTGACAAATAGTGCCTAGGTCTTCCACGCATATGCGTACGGCACTGCATTCTGGTACGGCCTGCGTGGCTTGTGTCGTGTATACGACCCCATAATGGTCATCGGTTGTACGTACACACAAACCCCTTTCAACCAGAATATCTCTCCTACTCCACACCCAAACTAACAATACTTTCCAAGGGTTCCGCCCCCCCTCGCAACTGAACCTCGCGCCCAACGACCTCGAAACATACAACGTGCGCAATGACGGCTGGTGCCTTATTACACTCGCTCTGGTCCTTATTTCCCTCACCAACGCTGTACCGTTTACTTCGGAGTCGGCGAAGAAGTTTTCGTCGGTGCCGTATGCCAAAGCTATTGTCGCGGCGACTATCTTTCACCACGTCGCGACGGGTATCGGCGCGTACCAGCATTATAAGTTGCCGAGCCATTACAACACCAGTATGGGCATTGGCGTTTGGGGCAACGTTTGGTTGTCGCTTACGGGTTTGTTTACGCTGGCTTTGCTGCAGAGCGATGCGGGAGACATGTATGTTGAACAGGTTGCGCAGAAAGTGAAATAAAGTGGGTGTGATGCTTTTTTTTTGGCAGTTTGGGCTATCTGTTCTCTGGGCGATTCCTAAACTTGGGAAAAGGCGGTAGAGTTAAAGTTGATGATTGATAGCGAGAGTGGGACTTTAATGAGTACAAGTTTCCACTAGGGCTGGGGAGAAGAAGAATAAGAGAGCACAAGATCTACTGGCTAGTTGCTAGTAACATATGTAGAATGAATTGCATGCTCAAATGTAACATGTTGAAATTGGTGTCAAGGAAAAAACATATCTGCACATCATCTCCTCTCTCTCTTACCTCCCTACGCATCATCTTCCCTCACTCCATCCTCACATGTACCGAGGCCACCCTCCACATCCCGATGCATACCCCCTGAAATTCCAACCCTGCCTCTTCATACTACAAGGTGTACAATACCCATCATGAACTTGATACAGCATCTGCAGCCGACACCTCGCCGACTGGCGATACGGCACGACGCCCGCCTGCCCGAGATAATACGGCTCATTAATCCGGTTCAGCGCCCTGCGCACGTCGCGACATGGCTTGACTTGGATGTACTCGTGGTGATTGCAGCGTAACCAGTGTCTGTGGATGTCTTTGCACATTGTTTCTTCTTTCTTCCTGGCTCCAACTTCGAATCGGGATGTTTCGATTTTTCAAATAAAAAACTCAAACTGTCTGAGATTTTCCGGTGAATGGGGGAATTTGATATATGTTCGGCTTTTGGGAATAGCAAAGAGGGGGGGGGGGGGGATTTAGATATTGTCTGGTGTTTTGGTACTTTTTTTTTCTTTGTCCATTTATATAGCATGGGTCTTCAGGAGAGAGCAATGGAGCGATTGTTCGGGGAAATGGTCTTGCATGGCTGTGTGGCAGTACCGGTGCAAATTCGTTGGTCGAGATAAAGGCCGCCAGTCCAATCGATAGTATCATGTTATCTCTCCATATCTTAAAGAACAGGGTTTATATCTCGTACGCTGAGCTCCATGTCTAGACGGTGGGCTGTATACGTACTGAGCAGTGTATGGCTTTGCGGATCATATCCGTTACTTGATTATCGCAATAGTGGCTTAGAATATATAACGCAAACGTATCTCTGCAACGTCGAGACACGTAAGGATGAGGCTTGAGGCTGTATTTTGGGATGCGGGAACAATTTTACTCAGCCACTTGCTGGAAAGCGAATCAAATAGGGTCAGATGTTCCACAAGTGCGGGTAGCATTGTGGAAGTAAGGCCGGCCAGGCTTACTTAGGTTGATGTCCCGGAAATTGGGTTTTGGTGAACGGTAATCTTTCCCACCGGTACAGTAGGCGACGTTGTCCCGGTACCCCGTTCCAGTTGACTGCCTTCCCGCTGGGCTAGGAATGTTGGTGTTGGAAGTCACATATGTGACGACGAATGTTTGCTCCCGGAGACTAATCGTGCAGTACTGATAACGTGGCCGGCTCCCGGGATACGCTCCGATGGGTCAGAATGAGAAAATCAGCATAGCAGTATGATGGTAGCCGGTGATCGTTTGCCTCGAAGGGGTTTTCAGTTGGGTACTGAATGTCGTACTGGCACCTTTTCTAGTAGCGTACAAACAGGAAGGATCCGGAACACAAAAGATTTATTAATGTGAGATATGAACCTGATCACTAGCAGTGAGTGATTTCATGGACATTGTATTTTTCGGGGTTCACAGTTCCGATGTCCGGAGATACCTCCTATCAGACACTGGCAGTCCTATGGGTTGTCAGAGGGTCAAGTTTGAAGTGGGTTTAAGTAGTATACTATTGATTGTAGAAGCTACCACATATTTTCACAGCTGTTGTACCACAGATCTAAGATCCATAAATCATTCAAGTTAGTCATGGCAAAAACCGGTATCGAAGAGTTTCCGCACAGCAATAGACTTATGGAGTGGTATATGTCTGGGTACGAGCGTGAATATCACTGTGAGCAACTGAGGCACATGATGAGGGACGCGGTTTTGCGGGGAATTCACCGCTCACGTCACAAAATGACAAAAGAAAAAGTGCACAGCATTCAATTTGTGTAAAAAAAATTGATTCAACTCCTTGAGGAGATCTTCATGGAATGACCATGGCGGGTATTGTTTTTCTCTAAAAATGCCAAAATCAAAAACGCCATTGGATGTATGCAAGGGGGTATCGTCCATATCCATATCCCAGAACTGAAAAAAAAGAAAACAAAAAACACACCAATGCTATTTGAAAAGTCAAAGGGAACATGATTCGCCTGTGCATTGTTGGTCGTGCGTCATCATCATCGTACTCGATTGTACCGGTGGCCTGCCACAGGAGACAAGGGTTTGGGGGAATTTACAAAGGAAAGACATGCAGACGACATGAAAAAAGGAAAGTTAGAGTCGTTGGAAACATGGATGAAGTTCATTCTCAGATCAATCCACGGAACTTGGCACCGTTCTTTTGATAGATGCTGCGAACCGACGCGGGAGGAGTAGTGACTACTGGCGCAATAGGCTGAGTGGCAGCAGGTGCGGTGACAGTGACCATGACGGTGGTTGTGACGACAAGAACGCCGTCATTGCCAGACTGGGAAGGGGTAGGCACGACACCAGGAGGGGCACTGAAGGTTGGGATCGCAACCGCAGATGTAGTTGGAATGGCGGAGCCAGTGCTGTTGGAGAAGGGTGGTCCACCAGTAGGAATAGAAGGAAGAGCAGTGCCGGTTGCAGAAGGAATATCACCACCAGAGCCGCCTCCTGAAAGAAGAGACGTAACAGGGCCCATCTCGCGCTTCAACGGCATCTCGTTGTAAAGTGCAGTTCGCGCGCTCCAGTCGCTGACAGCGGTGCTAACAGCATCCTGCTGGTCCATGGCGTATTCGGACATCTCAGCGTAGTCGAGAGCTTGCATTGCAACTTTAGGAGATGCAACGTCGACATCGATACAGGTGCTGTAATACTCGTCCTTGCCCTTGTCGAGACCTGGTGTCTTTCCAGGCAGGGAAGTCCACTGCCACACCCAGTACAAAGTGTAGGCCTTATCAAGCTCGACGTCTTCTGGGAGCTTCACGTCTGTTTCACAGTACATGACTGAGTTGGCAGGGCCGGTCTCTGGTGTGTTGGCCATGTAGGCGGGGTCGGCTGCCTTGCGTTCCATGGCGATGGGGGTCTCGTTGTTCAAGTAGCAGCGGCCATCATCGTAGTCGTTCATGGCTAGCAAGACTCCGCGCTTGTCACCACCCTGTCCATCCTGGGTCCACTGAAGGACGTCGAAAAGCTTTTCATCAGTCTTTGGCTCTTTTGTACCATAGACGTAGACGGTGCCGCCCTTTTCTGGTTTGTCGGGGTTGTTTTGTGGAAGTGTGACGTGTCCGTTCTCCTGGTAGCGGATGGCGATGAAGCCACCGGGCACAGTCTTGAGGCGTGGGTACTTCTCCGAGGATTGTTTTTGCTCTCGCTGCGTTGGCGCACAAAGCAGTTGGTTGGCGTCGATGAAGACCTTACCCTCGGTGTTGGACTCGGGCATTCGCCAGGTCATGGAGTTGTCTGTATCCTCCCCATTGGGGCCTGTCTGCCCCCTATCGACCATGCCTCGCGGATAGCCATAGGCACCCACATATTTGCCTTTGTCGTCGATGTTGCGGAGCTGTTCTCCCCAACTGTGGGAGTGGACTACGGGAAAAGCGGCGAGTGCCGCGACAATGGTTTTCCGTATAGAAGGCATTGTGATGTGTGTATATGTGTGTATGTGTGTGTGGATAAAGTTACTCGGTGATTGTGTCTCGAGAAAACAAAAGGCTTGTAGAACGAGAAAGTTCCGTGGGAAGAAATGCAGGAGTGAGATAAGTGAAGTGGAATTTGGTACGTGATGGAACAATGTGTAAGGTCATGTGCTTTGTAGACGTCTTCACCTCTGGCGCAACAATGTTGCTATTGTTCAATAAAAACCCCGTGTCGTGAAGTCCGCACAGCGTATTCCAGACAGGCAGAGCAAGGAAATAAAAGACAGGAAAAAAAATAAACAAGAGAAGTGAAGTGAAGATACAACACAGGAGGGGTGTGTGGGAAAGGATTAGGTTCGCGCAACCAAGTACCTTTATTCCAGGCGGGCAATGTGGTCAAACATGGTTCAAAATCTCCGACCCAAAGGGATAGAAGCGACCAGAGCCAATGGAGAAGGAGACGTGTGAAGGATCGAAACAAGGCGCCACCGCACGCGATGCTGCAGACAACATTCTGTGCCTGCAGCCGAAGATGTTTGGGTCTTGGGACAGCGTTTCAACGCCGACCTCCACTACTATAGCCGCCAGCCATGGGTTTACTGGTCCCACAACGCGCTGGCGGCGTAGCGCACACACCTGGCAGCATTGGGCACAGATTCTTTTTTTGCGGCGCAAGGGCCAGACTCTTGTGCTGAGATGAGTAGTTCGTCGCCAGGCGGCTACACTAGGCGTGCATCCGATACGTTAAGAGGAGTGATTAAGGTATTGGAGGGCAAGGCGAGCCGTTGATCTACAACACGAACACGGCAGCTAGCCTTTTGTCCAGTTGCCGTGCCGAATTGCGGGTCTGCCCGGGGACAAGTTGGACAGGGAAATAACCAAGGGCGTGCGAGCCGCCCGCAGCGTCAGAGAGTGCGTTGGGGGACGGATGCAGCGGCCAGGAGGGTACGACGAGAAGGACAGTGACGCGTGGGTGGCCAGCATCAAGATGGGGACTGGGCACACACAAGTGTACCGGAGCAAGGCTTGGGCGATCCGACGATAGGTGAATGCGAGCCCGATACAGCGCATCGAGAAAGATGGGATTTGGTGGCAGTGGTGGGTGGGGCGAGGTTTGGTAGCAGTGCTCAGGCTGCGTTTCAGGCCCGCTGGCTTGCGGGACTTGATTGGCTCTGCTGCTCACGCTATGCCGCAGCCTAACACGTGAGCGCGCCCGTGTGATTGGTCGGTAGCGCCCCAGCCTGCCGTGCTGCTATTTTTCTTCTTCGTTGTCGTCTTCTGTATTCTATGCGACCACTTTGACGCCCATCCATTCTCCGAGATTAGTACCCGAGATTCCACGCTCCAAGTATAGCCACTGGGCTAAGCCGGCGCGCGTGGCATCCGCTCGGCACCCCAGGTCACGCGCAACCAAGAAATGAGCAATTCCCCCCATCGTCCAAGGCCAGCCACCAAAGCCGACTTGTTATCGATAGCCACTGTTTCACGGATCAGCATCGGCACTTGGGGCCCAGGCTACCCCCCCCGGCCTGTCAGCAGAACCGGCAGATTACAGGAAGCCGTCTCGAGGCTAACCACGTCGGACTACGTCCGTAGTCTTTATTGTGTAGTGGCAACTCAAACTCGGAACGCTTGAGGATATGCGTTTCAGTGGCCGAAGAGTCGCACTCCATCCTACCAGCACCGCTGCCAAACTCAGATCCTCACATGGAGGGGGGCCCGTAATATAATATGGCATTTTGCGTATACATGGCGTTTCTTGGAGTGATTCAGAAGAAGCAACTGGCATTACGCTTGCTTTGACGCATCGTCCAGTGAGATCACCTTCTACTACCAGGCTGAATTGAGAGCAGTGAAGCAGTGACTTTGTTTTTCCTTACCCTTCTCTCGCCAGTAGTCGAGTAATCCGGTCCAAGTGCTTCTAGACTACATATGGATGCGCTAACATACTACCTGAAACGCTTTGACCCAACCAATGTCTACACCTACTGAGTCTACATGCACACTACACCACCTTAATAAAAATACCGCAGCTGAAGTCCACACATGTGCGCAAGTTTAGGGGTATGCAGAAATAGTCTGCATGAATTTGCGCAGCTGACTATCCATGTGTTGGACTTTGTCCTGTAGTGAGTTTTACCAGTTGAAGGGGCTACCATCATCTGCTACACCCAACATCTTTCTTGGCAGATTCACTGCGAGGCATTTCCTTTTGCCCCTCCCAGGTTCCAAGCTATACTTCAAAGCCACATGTTGCAGAATGGCATGACGTCTACTCAGTGAGACATTTTTGTTGTTTCAATATTGGTACGGATATCAAACCGTGAGATATGTACCATGGCGTCGTCAAGACAGACTGAGTGGAAACAGCACTTGCTATCTCAGCATTTGCCATGTTGTCAGGGGCCCGAGATAGCCGGATAAGAAATATCACTACCACAGCAGTGTAACTACGCAATAAAGCTAACATTACTTGCTCGCTGTATGTTGGAACATGTAGCTAAATAGAATTCTACTTCATGAAAACGTTTAATTCTCTACAAAGCTTGCCATACCTTGTGCAGTAATCAAGGCTGTGACCTGGATCAATGTTAGGCGTAGTTTTATCCGGCTACTGCGGTTCCTTGAGAGCCTTCTCCCCAACACCTCCCATCCCCCTAACACGGTGATTTAGCAGCAACGGAGAGAAAAGTGCCAGTGAAGTATCGGCAATCGCAAACAACATGAACAAACGAGTTCTCAACATTACATTTTGCACCTTACACCGCCCGTCCTTGTAACTCACGGTTACATCAGTCACCAACTCCCTTTCAATGAGTACATGAAGAAACAACCGCTTGCCCTACAATCCTCCCCCATTGACCTAGAAAAGTGTATCACACAACACCCTTCTGTGAACTACACAAAACCATCACATACATGAACCTCCCTGTATAAAAAAAACTTTTCTCCTCTCCCCAAAATATGATCCCTACCATACAACTCACCACTAAACTAAGAAACACGTAACAAGCAAAACATCTCAAAGGCAAAAAAAAATGGCTGTAGATCTAAACAATCCCCCAAATTGCCAGTGCAGAATTGTCCAGCAAAGCTGGCTCTGCCAATGCACCGTTGAACATTACACAGCACAGTGTCCTGGCGTGGCGCACTTTCCGCCCCGATGGATCAATTACATAGATCACCAAAGGATGTGCACTCGGTGCATGGAGCGCCTCGACAGGGCAGCAAGGGAAGCCGAAGCAAGGGATAGGAGGGGTCGGTAAATTTCATGAGCAAAAGGTTTGCTCACTGGTAGTTGATAGAAGGGAAAGACTAGGAAAGGAAGCGGGAAGGAAACATTAAAATATGAGAAGGTGGCATATATGTATGAATAGTCAGGAATAAAAAAAAAGGGGGGCGGGGCGGTTTATATACTCTCTTTTTTTCTCAATCTTCCATATCCTCATCCTCTTCGTATTCATTTTCCACCATCGCATGCTCAGCATCCTCCAAACCCGCCGTATTCCTAACTTGATCGAGCGCAAACACGGCCTCGGGCAAGCCTTCCCAGCCCACCTCCCTCTTGACACAAATGAGGCCAAACTCGCACACACCATTGAAGCCGTCATTGCGCCTGCTCTTGCCAAAAAACCCCACAACAATCTCATCCGCCGCAGGCTTGACCTCTACAAGCTGAGTGTCGCTCTGCGCATTCAACTCGCCTTTACTCTGCCCATTCGACAAATGCACACGCACCCCGTCGTCTGGGTTGACTTGCACAGACGTGATTTCCACGCTCTCGGGGAGCCGGATTTTCTGGGATGCGTGGCCGCCAAAGCGATGCCGGGATCCGTACGTGCGCATGGGGCCCCAGTGCGAGACGTGGCCGTCGGCGTACTTGACGACGCCGCCGTCCCAGAGACAGCCGACGCGCAGGTCGATCGAGACGGCGCGGTGGATGTGGCCGTCTGCGCCGCGTTCGCGGAGGAGCTGCGCCCATTCGAAATGCGAGGACGAGTCGGCGGACGAGTATGCGAGGTGTTTGCGGAGGATGATGTTGGAGCCGGGGATGCGGATGAAGGATTTGTTGGCGACAAGTTTCCATACGTTTGCTGTGCTTGTTTCGCGGCCGTTGGAGGCGAGGATGCGGAGGGGAAGGGGTTTGGTGCGGTCGAAGCGCTGGTTCAGTTCCGACTCGGTGAATTGCATGCTTGTGGGTGCGTTGTCCAGCCATTCGGCCGGCTGCTCGTGCTCTGTGTTGTTGAAGGTTATGCGCGCGATGCCGCTGTATGAGTTGATGTGGAGGATTGCGAGGCCTCCTTCTTCTTCTTCGTGCGTCACGCTCACGTCAGGCTTTGCTTTTCGGGCTGTCTCGTTGAGGATGGGGTCGGTAGGGAGTCGGAAATGGGAAAGATTGCGGAATGAGAGCGCGTCTGCTAGGTCCCAGCGTGCGTTGTTGGGTGTGTTTTCCGGGTCGACGACTGTCCCTTCTTGCTTCAAGTAGCGCGAGTATGCGGTTTGGGAGACAAAGTTCTTAACCCAATCTTGGGCGTAACCTCGCTCCATGATACCAGGGCGATGCGGCGAGCCGAATGCATGACCGACTTCGTGCATGTGAGCACCCTGACCAATTGCACAGGCTTCCCACAATGTAGTACACTGTCCGTTATCGTTGCCCACCTTTTCTCCAGGTTTACGGGTGTCGGTCAAACAGCTGGTAACTTCTTCCAGAAAGCGCGGCCAAGAGTAGGTCAAGTGGCTTCCAAACATGCCCAATGATATACCACGCGGATCGTGGCAACCAAGGGCGGCGTGTCCGAGAATAAGGCCTTTGGACATGCTGTACTGGGAGTCTAAGATTAGGCCAGCAACTACAGGCTGAGCATCAGGAACGAACGGACCCCCAGCCTCCAACAACGCTTCCTTGAAATAGTCGAAAAGGGCATTCTTATTGCGAGCTCTGCCATTCTGCTGTGCAATATTCTCGTTGCGAATTTCCCTGACTGTCTTGGAAGAGCGGATGACGTGAATCTTGGCTGTAGACCGTACAGCATCGTCCTGTGCGAGAGTTTGGCTAATGCGCGCATTGGTAAACTCGCGACTAACAGTGTCTACAATCCATTCCTCCTCCAGTCTAAAGGAGCGTCTTCCAATGCCTTGTTTCCTCATATCTTCGGCAGTCATGGCTTGCCACATGTACGCAGTCATGCGAAGCTTGGCAATAGCAGCGTCCAAGTCCGAATGTGCCGAAGACACACCAGCAGCCTTGTTAGGAGGACAATCGATGAGACACGGCGAGTCAGAAGCAACCATGATTGCGAGATGGAGAGGTGGATACTGCATCAGAGGCCAGTAATTGACGTTCGTCTCAACAGTATGTTCGATGCAGTCGTTGCAAATGTAGGCGAATTCGAGCCTATTCAATCCTGGCGAGAGCATGACCAGGGCCTTGAAATGGCCACCCGCTAGAGGCCATGTCTGCTCTGGGAAGTTTTCTGATTTGTTTGCTGCTTTGGTAGTTACGTGGATGTAACTTCCTTCAGCAGCTTCGAACCCATATGTTCCGGCGACAAGAAGGCAGCGCTAGGGAACTTGTTAGTAAGTTGAAATGCTGCAGCAACAGAAATCGCACTTGATGAATTGTCTCTCCATCTTCAAGATTGGTGATTTGAAGAGAACTTGTGATTGGTGCCATAATGATGATGGGCGGAAGCTATGTGACGAGGAGATGAAGTCAATCAAGTGGAAATATCAAAACGACGCTGAAAAGCCTGGTTGATTGATTGTGGAGGAAATGAGTGTTTCTTTTAACTTGGAGTCTTGCGTTGTCCGTCTTATAACTTTCTAGACGCTCTGGAGGAGTTGATACCCCTTGTGCCAGTATTCAGGCAACTGTCCGGATTGAGACTAGTTCCAATGATGCTGCCTGGTGTGCATGCGCTTGCGAACTTGCACCAGTCGCTATCCGGTCCGCGATCAATCCGTAACGGTTCGCAATATTAACCATCTCTTCTGATTCGACTTGCTGCCTACAATAGTGTAAGGGACATGATGGTGCTGGACATGTGCTTGGAATGAAACTATTATTCCCAGGCTGCGTCGGAGCTAGAGGTGTGGTATACGTGCACCCAGTCTCGACATTGATGTTCAGAAGGTCAGTACAGGCTATGGAGTTCATCGAGATGAACAGCTTGATGGGAGTGAAGTGGTAACCATTGATGATGATGAGCTAAGCTGCACGCGTGGCTGGAGATGCTGGAATGGCAGGATAATGTGCTTACGTCTTTAAGTGTAGTACACACCATGTACATTTGTAGGAAAGCTGTTAGTGAGCTCATCCATGTAGGTCTGAGGAGCGAATACGATATTCAAGCCTTTTGGCCTGATCGGAGTCGGCGCGATTGTTGCAGCGATCCAGACGCGTGGCGCCAGATCAGTCAGGGTCTTCGCCTATCTTGAAAATGTGGACCGTGCGCCGATCACCAGAATCTAGACACAACGGTGTTTTCGCCATCCCACAATCTCTCGTCTTGTGCAAACCGCCATCATCCAGCGTACCCACACCAAACCTAGTCCCAAGTTTACCCACAATGGCTTCTCTCTTATCATCCAACTTCAGCATGAGCATATGTGACATACGCAACTGACCTCAGCCCGTGCTATCACTTGTGTACATACGTTTCGCCCTCGATAAGACGTTGAGGGGCACTACTGTTGTTTATACCATCATACTCGCTCGCTCGCTCGCCCACCTAGAATCTCCTGAAGAGAGCACCAATCTACTCACCTGCCATTGCGCTTTGTTGTGCTGCTAATCACGTCGAAACCGCTACCATGGACACTACCGAAAGCGACTCTTCTGTCCCCGTGGCCGGTGACTCGGTCTTTAGCATTTCACGACCGTCATCCGCCTCTTCGATCCGTCCTGCCGATACGCCGAAAGACCTCCCTGCGGGCGCCCCCGTATCTCACCTATTCCAGGTTCGACACACACCGACCGCCGGCCGTGCCGTTTTCGCTACCCAAGACATCCCCGAAGGCACACTTATATGGCAGTCAACGGATCTTACGCTCTCCGTGTTGCTACGCGAGTATAGACGTGAGGTGTGCGGGCAATGTTTTGGCTACGACTATGGACGAGATCTGAGCATACGAGACAAGAGAGTGGGATTTGCCTTTTGCTCGGAAGCGTGCCAGAAAACATGGCAGGAGGAGCAGGGGGAGATTGGCATGCAGACTTGGACTGCTGTTGAGAATCTGATCCGAAAGAGGAGCAAAGAAGACAGTGACATGGTGGACGTTGACATGCCGCGGCCCAAGAAGAAGGACATTAGCAAAGCTTGGGATAATGTGGCTGGGCAGGCGGCGTTGATAAGGAGTGCAAGGGAAGCAGAGCAAGCGGGTGGTGTGGACGGCCAAGCTGGGATGGCCATTTCCAAACAGCACAAAAAGGCAGTTTCCAAGGCACTACAGGGACGTATTACCCCCGACGTGATGAGCTTCTGTGTCAGTGGCATCTTGTGGCGCCACCATCATCCTGAGCAGTGGGAACGATTGGAGGCTCTCGCAAACGACAACACGCCGTACCACAGCTCTGATGATCTGGATGCTTTCACACGGGCCTACCTGCACTTGCTTGTGATTCTGCCCGTGGCGCTCCTCCCACTGGTGACGGCGGAAACGCTTCTTACACTGTCGAAGCGCGACTCGCACAACTCGTTTGGGATTCGCTCGCTCGAGGACGAAGGCTCGGAGTTCTTCGGCTATGGGTGCTGGCCGGCTGCAAGCTACTTCAACCACTCGTGTGGACCGAACATTGAAAAGAAGCGGGAGGGGAGGGTATGGTATTTCAGGACGGGAAGAGAGATTGAGAAGGGACAGGAGCTGTGCATTACTTATTTGAGTGGAGAGGAGAGGAAGCTGAGTCGCGGACAGAGGATGCTGAGGCTGAAGAAGACGTGGGGATTTGATTGTGGGTGCGAGAGATGCGAGGCATTGTAGAATGGAGGGCGCTGGTAGAGTAGGCAGTAGTAGCGATTCGTAAGGCATATGATTTGCATCAGCAGTGGGCGTGAGCGTATTGCCAAGAGCGACATGGGCTGGTAGCTGTCAGGTGGCGAGCAGAGCAGACAGTAGCAGTAGTGCATTATTGATGATTACCAGTACAGACCCCGTGCGCGAAGGAGCTTGCTGGAGACGCCTCGTCGACTAACGGGACAGCGGAAGGCTGGTTGGGCATCGGGCCGAAAGGATATGCGCGTGAGGAACAGCCCAAGGGCTCATCTGCATCTTCCGGGCCGACACATGGGCTGCACATGGCGAGGCTGCTTGCTGGGTATCCTTGGAGGCCATTCTGTCGTGCGAGCTGCGCCACAGGCGTCAAAGGAGCATCGTGTGCAGACACAGAGGCGAGGGCGCGAGGGCGCGAGGGCGGCGATTGACGTCTTCTGAGGCGGTTCCCACTAGGCAGTGACGTAAGAGATCCGCCGCACTAAATGGACCCTGCAGACGGACTAGGACCGTTGGGTTGCGAGCAAAGTCCAAGCGGGCGAATCCATCGGGGGCGTCGAGCAACTGCAACGACGGCGGGAGATTGTGTCCCCAGCAGGCGGGCATAGGCGGGCAGGGCCAAGGGCAGACAAGGGCAGGCCAGGCCAGGCGGCGGGCTTTTCATCGTCTCTGCCTTGGTTGTCCATGCATGTGGCCGTCAGGGCCCATTGGCAGGGTCGAATTGGCATGCTAAGAGACCGTCTTGTGTTCCAAGGCCGCAGGTGAGGGCTGCATGCAGTGTGGCGTAGGCCGCCCCGTGCCTAGCGAGCTTTGTGAGCCTCTAGTCGATGGATCCGCTCAACTTCGCGGCATCCCATGGAGCTGAGAGAGGGCTGCCGGCCATTCCGCGCTGCGCCGCTATGGCTCGAGTGCATTCGCGCCGAGCATAGCGTGTGGTGAGGAAGAAGAAATATCAAGTCGTTGCCCGCATACGACACCGGGCTTATTAGATGCACCGTCTCAGCCGCCGCACTTCCTCTTGTTCCATCCGACCGATTGCCTGTCTGCCTGCGAGCGGCCAAACTGCAGTCTGACCAAACCAGATAGCCCCGCGCAAACCACTCTACCACCCCCACTACTGCCTGCGACTGCCCATCACCACCACCTGCTACACCCTACTAGCCCTACAGCACGGCACTCTACTCTACTCTAGCATCAGCCGCACCCCCAAGGCCACATCCCACCAAGCACAGCCCGTTCTGTCCACGTCCGACGGCAAACCCTTGCTCGCTCTGGGCTAGCCACAGCAGCAGCACCACCACCACCACACCCTGCGACGTCTTCGACGCGGCACGCCAAAATATCCAGACGAGCGTCATACCTCCACCCTGACCACTACCGCTGCTACCAAACGCGGCGTCACGGTACCGTATCATACAGCATTGGCTTTGGCGGAGAACAGCCACGCCCGCATCGAGATCTAGGGCTGCTCTTTCCCCGCGAAGCACATGCAGTTCCAGTCCACGCCCAGCTCTCCACGGAGCGGGCGCAAGAAGATGAGCCTGCCAGTAATCGAGGTGAGACGACTTGCTTTTTTTTCTCCCATTTTTCTTCTCTTGCTGTTCGCCCGCCCATCTGCACCCTGTCTCCTCCGTGTTTCCTCTCCGACTGCCGTAGTGGCACACACACACACACACACACACACACCCGCCCACCAGTCAGGGGCGCGACGGGCACAAGAACGCCCCATGGCCGCCTCAGGGCTGGCGCGCGTGGTTGCAGCTTGTTTGGCGATGATGTAGCCCACATCGTCATCTGGCGCACGGACGCGTTATGACGCATGTCGCTCCTACTCTCCTGCTCAGGCCTCACCTCACGCCTTCCCTCGCTCGTGCACGCCTCTCTCTTCCACCACCACCACCTTTCCCATTGTCTTTTTTCCCATTTTCTCCGCCACCAGTCTACTGCCGTGACACTACCGTCCCGCTGCATTCTTCTCCTTCTCCGTCTTTTGCTGCTGCTGCTGCTGTTGCTGTTGCTGCTACACCCGGCTATACTCGGTCGTATCAAGCCCATCTCTGCCTATATCCGTCTCCCAGCCCAAGCGACCCCGCCATCCCCAGCGGCTTTGTAATTCACTCTTGTCCACGCACACGCACACTAAACATGGCTGCCATACAGAATTTTAAGAACTTCCTGCGCCATGGCAAACAGGCCCGCCACAACGCGGAGCCCACGACAAATGTATCCAATGTCCATGCCCAGTCGCAACAGCAACGCTACAACCAGGCTCCCGAGCCCGCACATCATGGCATCTCGGAGCCCGTAATGGACCACAAGCCTCTCCAGAACAATCCTGCTCCCCATGGCGACTACTCGGTCGGCGCTGGCGCTGGCGACAACCGTCACATTGCCGCTCAAGCAGGCGACGCCGCCGCTCGTGCTGTGGCCGACAACCAGAAGAAGCAGGCGGCCGCAAAGGGCGCCGGCGTTGACCCGTCTGTACTCGAGCGCATTGTTGCAGAGGAGCGCGAGGCAAAGGGCAAGCTGCCCAGATACCCAGGCCTCGAGCGCTGGACTCTGCTCGAGAAGATGGGTGACGGTGCCTTCAGTAACGTCTACCGCGCACGAGACAACACTGGCCAATGGGACGAAGTCGCCATCAAGGTCGTTCGTAAGTTCGAGATGAACTCACAGCAGGTCAGTACTACCCAAATCTTTTGCCCCCAGACCCTTTCCCCTCCCCTACTGCCCTCTTGCCCTCCTGCCCATTTCCACAATGTCGTCATCCCTCTCCCTTACCCGATCCCGCACCGAAAGAGAAGTTGGGTGTTTTTTGGACGTTACCAACGCGAGGCCGGTGTAGGACAAGCATATACATCCGGACTTCAAAGCGCCCAAAGCAGCAGAGGTGCGATAGATTTACTTCCCTGATGCTCGACTCCCTAGCATCCTCGTTTCCCATCACGCATGGACTTTTGTGGGCAGACACTAACTGCCCTATAGAGAGCAAACATCTTGAAGGAAGTACAAATCATGCGCCAGCTCGACCACCCCAACATTGTCAAGCTCATTGACTTTTCCGAATCACGGCAATACTACTACATTGTCCTCGAGTTGTGCCCCGGCGGTGAACTGTTCCACCAAATCGTTCGCCTTACCTACTTTTCAGAGGACCTTTCTCGCCACACCATTATCCAGGTCGCCAAGGCTCTGCAATATCTGCACGAGGAGGCAGGTGTTGTACATCGGTTCGTATCCTGCTCTTACATCAATGAGATCAACCACTGACGTCATAACCAGAGACATTAAACCTGAAAACCTTCTTTTCTACCCAATTCCATTTGTCCCCACCAAAAACCCCAAGCCAAGAGGGCCTGATGATGAGGACAAGGCTGACGAGGGCGAGTTCGTCAAGGGTAAGGGTGCTGGTGGCATCGGTCTGATCAAGGTTGCCGACTTTGGCCTCAGCAAGGTCATTTGGGACACCCAGACAATGACACCTTGCGGCACTGTCGGTTACACCGCCCCTGAAATCGTCAAGGACGAGCGCTACTCCAAGAGTGTTGATATGTGGGCACTGGGTTGTGTGCTCTACACTCTTCTTTGCGGTTTCCCACCCTTCTACGACGAGTCCATCCAGACTCTTACCGAGAAGGTCGCACGTGGCCAGTACACTTTCCTTTCTCCATGGTGGGACGACATCTCCAAGTCTGCACAAGACCTGGTGTCGCATCTACTCACAGTAGACCCCGAGAAGCGTTATGACATCAACCAGTTCCTAAACCACCCATGGATACGCGAGGCAGACGAGCCTACTTACTCTGCTTACGATGCACCGCCTCTTGCAACACCTGCTGCCAAGAAGGAGCGTCTTCAGCCAGACTTTACCCACCTCGAGTCACCAGGCGCCCGTCGCATGGACTTCCGTTCGCCTGGTGCTGTCAATCTTCGAGAAGTTTTTGATGTCAGTTATGCTGTACATCGTCAAGAAGAGGAGGGAAAGAGGAAGAAGCAGTTCAAGCAGGGATACCGTGGGGCAAATGCCATCAACTCTTTGAACGCACTTGACGAGAACGAAGACGATGATGAATACACTGCCGAGTCCGTACCATACGATGCCTCGTCGCAACATCCACCAGCGAAGCTTCCCAAGTCACAAGGTGCTGACGTGTCTGGAATGGAGCAGAAGATGCGCAATACCACACTATCTGCCGCAGCGCAAGCACGTCAACAACAAGCCGCACCACAACAACGGGGCTATGGCCAACATTCTGCCGCTGTCGCAGCTGCGGCCAAGCGCCAGGTCAAGAACAAGGGTGCCTTTGAACTCAACATGGACACATCGAGTATTCTGGGCCGCCGAGCCAAGAGGGGGCCTGCGCCTAGCGGTCTAAGAAACAACATCTCTGTTGGTGGAACATGACAATCATCATCGCTCACAAAGGATTGGTGAAGATTTGGCACGCTTTTGACCATGGGGATTGTTATGAGATGTCATGATGGCATAGAGTATCTGTGTTTCTTCTTCTTGCCTTTCATTACTCAATTTCCTTTTTTGGTGTATGACCTGTCTCTGTGTGTTTCTTCTCTTTTTTTTCCACCGTTTTTTGTTGGGTCATATCCATGTAGTGCACACGTCTGTTCTCCTCTCATAGCATAGTTTGTAGTAGTCACTGTCCCTTTCATGTGCAAAAAAAGGGCCATTTAACGCGCCTTTGTGCGCTTCCTTGTTCTGGGCATGAAAGAGGGGGGGAGTGTGTTTGTGTGTTTGTGTGTGTGTGTGTGTGTGTGTGGAGGGATAGCCGTTTTATATGTATGTGGTGGATACAAGCAAGGCGCATGTCAACAATGGTCGCAAAAACCATAGTTACTTGGACAGTAGTATCAATGGAAAAATCATCAGAAATACCGAAACATGAAAACATATCGAGTGAAGTGCTCATGCTTCACAACCTCTTGACCACAACCTCTTTACTGAACAAAGGAAAAAGCTTGTATTTGCATGCTAAGTTGTGTCCCGACGGGGGAAAACAAAAGAACAACTGCTCAAGAGGAAATTAAGTGTGAGTGTAAACCAGGGACAAAGAAGAAGAAGAATTTCTTGGTGAAGAAGCCCGGCATAAAAAAAGAATCTAGACAACGGGCGTCTCTTCCCATCATACAAAATGTGCATGTATAAAGATAAGAACCTCTCCATTTAACACGTTATACTTTCTCTATCGCTTGGGCACAATCCCTGCAGCTGCGTTCATCAGGCTCAGCCCAGTACCTGACGCAACGGGCGTCATGGTGCCGGGTGTGGGCGCTCGGGAGGGAACGTTACTCCTGTTGTGTGCCATGTGTGCCTTGACCAGGTGGCCAGCGCACAGCGCACTGTTGAGCGACAGTTCACCCGCAAGCACACCGGCGGCAATGACGCGAGCGAGCTGGCGAGCATTGTCACCGGGAGAAGTTGGATGGGCGCCCCGTACGCCAAGCAGGTCGAGCATGGCGGATTGAGGCTCAAGAATGGTCCCACCACCAATGGTGCCGACTTCTATCGAAGGCATCGAAACCGAAATCTGGAGGTTGCCGTTGACACTGGTAGAAAAAATGTTAGCAAACTCGTTCACCCAGTATGAAGATGAATGAATGAAAAACTTACTTGTTCATAATGGTGATGCAGTTGGCACTTTCAACAACCTGGGCAGGGTCCTGACCAGTAGCCAAGAAGATGGCAGCAACAATGTTTGCAGCGTGCGCGTTGAATCCACCCATAGCACCCGCCATGGCTGAGCCGATAAAGTTCTTGGAAATGTTCATCTGGACAAGATCGTCGACTTCACACTTCAGGACTGATCGAACAACGGAGCCGGGAATCATGGCTTCGGCAACAACACCCTTGCCACGGCCGTCGATCCAGTTGATGGCAGCAGACTTCTTGTCGGTACAGTAGTTGCCAGAAACAGCAACCACACGCATGTCTTCAAAGCCGCAGTCATTAGCCATGACGTTGAGAGCATGCTCGACACCCTTGGAAATCATGTTCATGCCCATGGCATCGCCAGTCGTAGCCCTGAAGCGAACGTAGATGTTGGTTCCAGCAATGGCAGATTTCATCGATTGCAACCTGGCGAAGCGAGAGGTAGAGTTGAAAGCGTCCTTCATGGTCCTTTGGCCTTCTTCCGAGTCAAGCCAGATCTTGGCAGCACCTGCGCGCGCAAGGCTGTCGAATCCAATACAAGGTCCACGAGTCATGCCATCGCCAGTGATAACAGTAACGGCACCGCCACCAGCGTTGATAGCCTTTGCACCGCGCGAAGTTGAAGCGACAAGGACACCTTCAGTAGTTGCCATGGGGAGGAAGTAATTTTGACCATCGATGAGCATTGGGCCGGCAACACCAAGCGGAAGAGGGAGATAACCAACGACGTTTTCACAGCATGCGCCATGGACAAGATCGTAGTTGTAGTCCTTGTATGGCAGAAGCGAGCGTTCCAGCAGAGTTGACGTTTCTCGTGTAGCGTGTGTTCGGGAAACGAGACCGCGGCGAATCTTGACAGCGCGAGTCTTGTCGCCGAGCGTCTTCTCCAATGCGTAACCTGGGATCTTACCCCTTAGCGACATCTCAATCAGTTCCTCGTCGGTCAGTTTAGATGCCTGCTTGTCCTTGACCATTTGTTCGAGAATCTCGTAGGGGCGGTTAGGCTGGCGTTGCTGCTCTTCCGTTGGGCCTGCTGGAACCTCTGGCTGGGGTCTTGGCTGGACTTGTGTAAGTGGCTGCAGACACTTGACTTGTTCCTCTGGGCCAGGAGTACGGGGCGGGGTAGGCATGTACATGGATGGAATGCGAGGGGTTCCGGGGACAGTGGGGGCTCCGTCAAGGACTTCAGAGGGAGAAGGAGGTTCCAGTGCCTTGTGCGGCTCTTTGATTGTCCATCGAGCAGCATTGAAGAGGTAACCGTTGAGAACCACGCTCATGACGAGCGCAAGTACGATCCACTTGCTAAGGAACGGATCCTCCAGACTCTTGAGCACGCCATCGACAATGTGGGTGCTAATGTTAGTGCCAAAGGCATGGCCTGAGTCGGAAAGAGAAGGCTCTGCGTAGTGAATCGAAGGGAATTCGAGCTCGTACTTGATCGGCATGAGAACAGTAACAATGGTCGATGTTGCGGCTTCCTTTGCTTGCTCAAAGATGTGATCCAAGCCACTTCCAGCAACCTTGAAAGGATCCAGGGGAGGGGTAGAGCCAACAACAGAGACAAAGTAGGACTTGCAAGGTGCAAGACCAAACTTGAGGGTGGTAACATTAAGGATGTTCACAAGGAAAAACCCAGCGACCATAAAAATCTTAAACTTGGGGACGGTGATCTTCTTTCCAAAGACAGTCGTGCTGTTGTTGCTGACCTGCACGTCACGAGCACTAGGCCAGTCGTTGCTGCGAGCAACGCTCTCAGCGACCTTGCCGTCAATACCGTCATCTTCGAGAGCGCGGCGAAGAGCAACATGACGCTTGATTCTGTTGATCTCAAGCTTGACGGTGAGAATGGACGTGTAGAAGGTCAGAAGCATGAGGGAATCGAAGAAGAGAATCCAGGCACCTAGGAAACAGAACTGGCGTAGACCGCCTTGGATTCCAGACAAGGCGCCTGCGACGAGAACCAGAATCTCGAAGAAGTAGTCACGGACAACCTCGAAGCCAGTCTTCTTGATAGCGGTCTGCACGGCGGATTGGATTGTTACAGGCTCGCCACGCTTCTCCTCGGCTGCTCGTCGGCCGTCCAAGGATGCAGACAAGACGGCCTTTGTGAGAACAATGGGCTTCTCAAACCCGATGATGACAACTAGGAAGGGAAGCCCCTCGGAGAGAAGGATCAAGTTGATAGAGACACCGAAGTAAGTCGTCACAGCGAGGGCAAAGAGGAAGGCAAAGGCGGACTGCAGTAGAACAGCAGTAGCCAGCCAGAAGTTGGAACCCAGTCGCCTCATGGCGAGGAAGAGGGACACAAACGTCAGGTGCATGGCAAGGTATCCCATGGCCATGATGACAATATCACCAGTGTCAGCGTTCTGGAGGCCAAGTTAGCAAAAGTGCGCATTCGCCATGAGGGAGACGAAGAAACAAACATACCTTGAGTAGGTCAAGGAATGAGGTCCAAGAGTCGACGATCCAGTTGCGCATTCCTGAAGAAGCATTTCCGTGCTTGGAGGCACGCATCATCCACTTCTTCTGCTCGCGGGAACCTTCATGCGCAGGGCTCTGGGCTTGGGTGATATCCTCTGGTGCGGGGATCTCTTGCATGGCTTCGATGAATTTGGCAGCCTCGTCGTATGGCATGGCGTATGCCAGCGAGGTGTCGTGAGAAAGAGTAGAGAAGGGGCTGTATGAGCTGGGAAGGAGCTGTGCGGACACATTCTGAGGGACGGATTGTTGCGAGGGGGCCGAGTTGAGGGAGCTGGACGAAGGGAAGACGAGGGTGACGAGGGCGAGTTCCTGCGCAGGCGGGCATGTGAGCTGGTGAGGCTTGGTGAGATGCGAGTGAGTGGGACATACCTGGGCGTTGTCGGCAGCACTGCCTCTGGCGTCCGAGGCCTCCCACTGCCATGATGTTTCTTCTCCAACCCTCAGTGTCTTACTGCCCGCCAAAAGGGACTGGAAGTCGACCTTGTTGGAGATGTCCTCGATGCCGCTCTCCAAGAGCCCCTTGTCCAAGACACCGAGGTACGAGTAGCTGGCGAGGACGGCAATGGTGACAATGGTGTGGATGGGATGCGTGCATGCCCTCTTGGCTACCGAGAGCAGGACGGGGAACAGGTGACGGTCGAACCAGGTTGGGGCTGTCTTTTGCTGGTCGCCCGTCGCCTGCCAGCGGCTGGCGAGTGATCCTAGCATTGTGGGCGTCTACCACCGAGGTTGATTGAGCGTGATCGAGGCGTGGAGGGGCTCCGGGGAATCGTTCGCATATGTACAGGCACACGTACGGGCCGGTGGCTGTGCGGGGCTTATCCCCAGTGAGCGCCGATTACGAAGCAAGGCGGAGGCAATGGTTACCGTATGCGAGGTTATCTGCACAAAGCGTCTCGTGGCGTGCGTCGGAGACCGAAGCAGTTGTTTGGGAAGCGACTGCGCCCAGCCCTTTGATTATTATGTGTCTAAGCCCAGGTAGGGTCGGGAGAGCGGCGATGCGGCGAAAGAGACAGAAAAGCAACCGCAGCTCGGAAAAGAAGAAATTATTAGGGCGGAGAGAGCGAGAGGGGAGGAGGGGAAGAATGTGCTCGTGCGTAGGAAGAGTACATATGTACAGTAAGTAGGTACCACAGACGAAATGGGCTATCGGGGGGAATTGCTGGACGGCGCCCCTTGGCCAGGGTGTGCATACCCCCCGTCCCACGACTTTTTTGACCGCGCTAAAAGCACCGACAACACTCTCACCGCGCTTTGAGCATACAAGACGGGCCTTGATTTGACACGCAAATGCGCCTAACATGAGCGGTTGCTCTTTTAGGGCACACGGCACTTGACCAGCTCACGACTTGCTTTGTGACAAGCATGCTGACCCTTGCTGTCTGCAATGTCCCCGATTCTGCACCTTGGCAGAGGGTAAAATGGCCGACTTCACCGCCACACGCTGAGCGCCACACAGCCGATGCGCCACACACGCACAGGCCGTGCCGCCACACACGTGGCTCAAATTCTAGCAGCCGGCTGATCTTCAGGGGAACAGTGCGCGAGCATCCCGTTGGCTGCCACCACGCCCATGACCAGGCTGCAGGCGCCGAGTGGCAGAGCGTCCGCTTTCGGCCAAATACCGACTCTGCTTGGAGACTTCCTACTGTGTAGGACACGTGAAAGCAATAGCGACAGCAAGTGCGTGTGTGCTGAGGGCCTCGCGGCTATGGGCTCTAATGGTTCCATGGTCTAATCTGGCACAATGCACCGCCGTTTGGTGCCATGTTTAGTCAACACCACCAAACACACAGGGAATCCCGGCCGAAGTAACGAATGCTGGATTTGTCTAATTTCCATATCAAAACAACAGCATCTGTCCAACATGGTACCGTTTCCATGGCTGTTTAAACCAGCCACTACGACGTTCCTACCGCACGCTTGTCTACTTCTCTTCGAACCCGACCCCTCTGGGGTCTAGATTCTTTTCTAGCCTTGTAAAACTGCTCCATCGATATCTGTTAGAGATTTGGCCGAAATAAGCAGAGCAACCGTGGTGACAAGGAGTTTAGAGGGAGAAGGACTTGTCTGCTTTTGGTAGTGAGTACGGCGCTGACCACTTTGGGCATATTCCGAGCTGGCCGCAAAACTCACCCATTGTGTATACCAGAATTGGTTCTCTGCCGCACACCTGCCAATAAATACTTAAGTACACACGTATGTACATATCTTCCGTTTTAAGTACGTGACAAACCGCAGTCAGCGCACACCTTGTCCAGGTAAGTATACCCGACGGCGAACCGAATCGTCGCACACTCTTCTGCTTACTCGCCAACCATCCTAGCCGTTGCAGGTCCATTGTCGTGTGTAGTGCGCTTCAGACAGACGGCGTCTGGCCAACAAACTTGGCTGTCATGGGTACATCGTCATTTGTAATGTGCTTCAGAAAGGCCGCGTCCGGCTTGTAGAGCATCACGTGAAAGTGCTCCACTGCATGCACGCTCTTCAGGCTTTTCCAGTTCTTGAACCACACCACCTCCTTGACCTTTGACGCAAACGTCTTTTGCACATAATCTTCGATCTGCTTCTTGGATGCTTCCGTACACAAGCCCGTCTCGGGGTCGTCTTCGAGCTCAAACTTGGTCCAGACGACGAGATGGACAATGTCTGGATCGATGCCATAGGGCCAGTCGTTGTACAGGATCTTGATGTCCTCTGAACACGGTTAGACAACGGTAGCAGCCAAGCGAATAGGGCACCCCGTCGTACCATCAAACTGGAATGGTTCGCCTCGGGGTTCCATCGTGTCCCACTTGAGACGCTCGTTGACTATGAAGTTCATGATGCTGCCATAGTCCTTCTCGAGCCTGTAGGTAAACTGCCGATAGCGGCGCAGCTCGCTCGGCAGGCGATGGAACTTGTCGACACGGTTGCTCTCTTGCGGGGGGCTGTTAGCATCTCGCCTATCGGATGTGAATCAATAAAGCGTACGGACAATCTCCCGCACCTGGTCCCATGTCAATACTTTGTACTCGCCGTCGGGCATCCCAATGATGGCCTTATCCTTGTCGCTGCAATCCTTTAGGAAGTCCGGGCACTCGCTCGGCCACTGGTCCTTTGGCACATTGACGAGCCAAAAGGGCAAAGCTTCATGTGCCATGTTCGCGTCACGTTGATGAGGCGGGTCAACCCCAGAAAATGCTCAAAGTATGGTGATTAAACTGAAAATGTGATGGGAGAGTATGTCTGTAAGTATGTACAAGGTTGCAATGGCTGGGTTTGGGGGGATGGGGGGAAGCCCAACAGCATGCGCAAGCCCAAAAGGAAAGTTGAACGACGCGTAGGACTACGCACGTAGTAGTAAGTAGGGGACCCGCGCTTGGGCTTACGTACTTACGTGCGGTGAGCCATCCACCGACGCTGCAGACCTGCCAGCAATGGGATGTTTTGCGTCTAGCCCACTGTTTCAAAACGCGGCATGCGTTGGGGAAGCCATCGGCAGTTGAAGCGCACGTACACCGCGCAATCTTTCTTTTGGCTTTTTTGTCTTTGCAACTGGCGAAGAGGTGCGACGGTGGATGAGAAGAGCAAGAAAACACAGGCACATATGTACATACGCACGTAACCACACCATGTACAGCCCTCTCCTGCCGAGTCAAAACTGAAGAGCCGCACCACTGCATGCGGGCGGATGCAATCGTCTCACTTGGCCTTCCCAATTGCAGCCGTGTCTCCCCATCACGGACACATCGCCAGCAATCTCCCGCGTCTTAACGTCCTGTGTTATGCATCGGGTCTGCCTGGGGCCCCCGAGGGACCGTGCTCCCTCCCATTGGTCACACCCCAACCCGCCCGAAACGCACAAGAGCCAGCACCCCTCCCACCTATAGTGACCATACCGAACATCTGTTTTAACACCCGGCCGCACAGTGTCTAGACAACCCAAGTTACATCATAATGGTCAGATGCGGCCAAAGGCCCGTTCATTGTTGTTTGAGCGCATCTCAGCAGCCCGTCTGGCAGGGTCTTCATCATGGCAATACTAACCCAGATCCCCCATACGCCTTCAGTCATCTTTTCTTCACCCATTTTCCCTTCAACCTGCGCCTTAGCCTTTCTTAATCCCTTCAGACTACCTACAGTCGTTTCTTTTTTTTCTCGCCTATTCTTCATCCAAACTACTTCTACTCTGTGGACCATTGCGGTTGTCACGTTCCGTTGGTGACTCTGTTTCACGTTACACCATCCTAGGATCCCTAGTCCAGTCGCCTTCTCCACAGATTATTTCGCATGTCACAGTGCAACATTCCACAGTGGACGCCCTGTGTTTCTATTTGTGCCTCTCCCACTATTTGACGATGGGGGGCCTTTGAAATCAACGATATATACGCCCGCTTCCGCTCTTCCCCCGTATGGCTCGCACTTTGCTGTTTGGCAAAAAACACTCCCATCGCTACACACTTCGGATTGGACACTACACCTAATCCAGGTTTCACCAACATCTCAAGACTTGAATAAGATTTTCCACCACAAACCACCGATCATAGTGCCATTGTCGCATGCTCGATACACGTCGAAACTTGTCACTTCACTTGTTTGCCTTGGCTTGCCTCTCGTCACAATATATACCTTAGCATTCATCACGACACCACTCCGAATGCCCACCACAGAGCCTTCACTATGATCCGCGATCCCCAATTCTGGAAACGGTTCAGCACAGCCGTACACCAAGACGACTTGGAGAAGCAGATCATGACGGCTCAAAGTCCAAAGCACCCGTACGTGGCAAGCAGTTCTTCTTTTACCCCTGTACCATTGTCTCTCGGGTCTCCCCTATCACAAATACACTTTCCAATGTCCTCACCGGGACAACCACCCATGGTCCACCTGGCCTCGCTCTCAGGCTCCACCATAACGAGCTCGCTCTCGCCTCTCTCCGCCGAAATCTCCTTTTCAGACGCCGACGACAAGTCGAAACCACCGGCAAAGTAGAAACGCAGGAGCAAAGCCTTACGCCGCTCAACCCTCCAAAAAACTCCCTCGACAAAACCCCTCCTCCGCCCAAACTTTACCGGCTCAAACATCAAACTCCCACCTACCGCCTCCTCATCGACCTCGTCATCACCAACAACAACATGTTCCCCGCACCACTCCCCCCTCGACCCTCCCCCTCGCATCCACCACCGCGCCTCCAACCCCCCTTCTTCCCCCTTCCGCCCCTTTTTCCGCGCCCCAAACATCTCCGCCATCTCCCTCTCCCTCAGCGGCCGCCCTTCCTCGCGCTTCAAGTTCGTAACCACCATCACGGCTGACGCCTCACACAGAGACTCGTGGCTTGTGCGGCAGAAGCGGAAAGAGCGCCACCGCACATGGATCTGCTGGGCCTTTTGGATCGCACTGCTGCTTCTTGTTGCTGCGGTTGTCACAACGGTTTTGGTGCTCAAGTCTCGGGGCATTATTTGAGCAGCCAGCCAGTTGCGTTTTGACAAGGACGAGGCGGGGAGATCAACATCCCCCACACCCCCCACCCCCACCTTTTGCTTGGTTTCTTTTCCTCCTTCTGGTTTAGTCCTTTTTCGGAGGGTTTTTTTGGGCAGTGTACGACCATGAATAAAGAGCGGGAGCGTGGAGTTTCTTCCTTTTTTTTTTCCCTCCGGGAGGGTCCGGAACGGGGTATTCGGCGTCTTTTCGAGGGTATAAGGACTTGGGAAAGGAGGGAAATTTTCCAATATTGCTCTTTTTGGGGAGCGGATGGGTTGGAACTGGCTGAGCTGGTCTTTGCAACTGGACATCTGGCATGCCGAGCATTGAGTTTATGTCTTCTCCCTCTTTTTTTTAACTCTTTTCTTTGTATATGATACCAGGTCTAGATTGCTATGGTCACGAATACCGACTCTAGTTTGTTTTCTTAAGCACACATTAATGTATCACTCGTCTTACGTGCATTTGTAAATTCATGTGTCCATATGCAATTCTTCTTTCCTGTGAATCCGATATAAGCATAGTTGAAAATGACAAGCAAGTGGATGGAAAAGATACATTACATGTCTCTTCTTCCACATTAAATTCGTATACTACAAAGATGCATGTTTTTTGAGTGTCGAAACAACGCAATGCCCGCTGATGGTATCAAAGTCCAACGTCTCCCGAAGAAAATTGCGCGGGCATGTCTTAACGCCAGAAACTCCTAACAATCCCTACATGCACTCTTAATCGACACCTTCTCAGCAACCTTCAGAAGCTCCTCCTCTTCTTTCCAATCAAAACCTGTTCTTAGCAGCAGTGGCGGGCGGTGTAGGACTCCTGCTCATACTCCTGGCATCGCGGCCGCGCTCCTTAAGCCACTTTCGCGTGCACATGTCCAGCTCTCTGTCCAGCTCAGGAGACGGTTCTTTGCGATGAATGAAATTGCAAAAGCCACCGCGCACACAGCCCTCGCCGCTGTTGAGTCGACAACATGCTTCGCGGAAATCGGTAACGGGCGAGAGTTCGCAGTAGATAGGGCGACCAGCGTACCAACGACTATTGAGGGCATCGCAAGCTTTTTGGGCGTCCTCTTCGTACTTGAAACGTACATAGACGTTGCCAATCAGATCTGTTTCAGCAAAGTTAGCATAGAGTCGCCATGTGTAGATGGGGAAAAGGGTGCAGGGAACGTACGGTCATTGTTGTTGTCGCAAACAACGAGCTCCTCTACCAGCCCGTACTGGCATAGCTCACACCAGATGTCCTCGTAAAAGGCATCAAAGTGCATCTGCATCTGCTGCGCATTCATCTTGTTCTTGGGGTCGTATGCCGGGTTCTGGTAAAGGTTGGGCAGCAGGATGGTCTGCGAGTACGATGGCTTGACGTGTTTTCGCGAGCAGCGGTCGCCGTGACGGCAGGCACCAATCTTGTAGTAAAAGGAACAGTTGACCTTGTCCTGCTCGGTTCCGAAGATGGAGGCGAGGTAGTTGGCCATGTTTGCGGGTGCTGCGCGTGCGTGTCGCTATGAGATATTGTGTTTTGGTGACGACGATCGGAAAGCGTATACGTGTCGAAGTATAGATATCAATGTCGATCAGTCGATGGAGCAGGGACGATGGGGATGGTGAGGTTGTCGCGCGGACGGTGCAAAATGTCGCGATGCGCGCGAAGCTCACCAGAGCGGACGCTAGCGGATGACAAAGCTAGTGGAACGCCAAGGAATGATCGAGAACACGTGAGATGAGATGCTTCCTTCATCTTTGCCACTCAGTTCATTACTTATGCATGGTAAGCCTCAATTTGCCACCGGTGAATCCAACAAGATTCACCGGAGAGCCACGTAGCATAATCAGACATGTTAACAGCACTCTCGCAATATCCAGCAATCCTACACATCATTTTAAAAGTTATCACTAAGCCCCTCACATCACAACTATCAGTCGTTCGCGATTTGTATATGGTTAATATTTGTTCTCTTTCCTGACGTTCTCCAGTGGTTGCTCTATTCAAGCACAGTTGGTGTGATCAGCTGAACTTATGAAGCTTGTCCTACCCAACGTTTTGACAGCACTGTATTCGAACAAAGGATTCAATTAGATCTTAGAGATACAGTTCGTCCATCACAAGTGGATATGAACATTCAAAAACCATTCTGGAATGCAGACCCCACGAACACTTTCAGTGGTGCAACATCACAAACTTTCTCCCTGGCTAATCCGTCGTATGGGACAGAGCATAATGACATTCTAGACGAAGGGGTCAGAGAAATTCGCGTTGCAGAATTGTACCCAAAAGCCTTCAGGGAAACGTCAGGAAGAAAGTACGTCAGCTGCTACACCCAAACCATTGCGTTCGACAAGCTGGTGAAATCACGCATGCCTTATTTAGCTCTTTCATATTGCTGGGGCGATCCGAAGAAAACAGTACCTATATATCTTAACAACAAGCTCGTTCACGTGACCGAGAACTTATCATCAGCGCTTCAGAATTTCGAGCAGCGTGATGTAGCGCTCAGAATCTGGATTGATGCGATATGTATCAATCAGAAAAATGAGCATGAGAAAAGCCAGCAAGTTGGCTTGATGGCTGAGATATACCACAAGGCTTCCGAAGTTATCGTTTGGTTAGGGGACGGTGACGAGAATTCTCCGAGAGCGCTTGAAATTTTAAAGGAAATTGGGGCCTCAGCCTTGCAGCTGTATCAAGGGAATTTCCATGGCAACCTGGATCGTTCGAACTTCGAAGGGGTCCTCCAACACAATGTCTTGAACACATTATGGGCTAGATGGCAAAACAGCGACGCATTGCTTTTCGATATACAGTTGACGCAAAGGCTACTACTCAGACCTTGGTTTCGTCGGGTTTGGGTTTTGCAAGAAGCTGCTCTGAACGACAATGTCACATTTTACTGTGGACAAGATTACGTGTCCAAGGATGTGCTTTGGGCTGGGGTGCGGACTGTAGCGGCTTTAGTGAATGAGGTTTCCCCACTCGGACAAGCGCCTCTCTGGAGAACCGTGGCCGATACGGACTTCATCTCTCGACGAACTCTAGACTTCGTTACGACGAAAACAGAAAAACTCCCCCTCCAGAAGCTTCTTACCCAGATCGCATTTAATCTAGGGAAACAAGCGTACGAAGCTACTGACCCTCGCGATCGGATCTTTGCTATCCTAGGTTTCTCATCAGATTCAGCTTCTCTTGGTATTCGCCCCGACTATGATATCACTTGTTCAGATCTGTATACCAAAGTGGCAAGAGCAATCCTGGAAAACTCTGAGACATTAGAAATCTTGTATGCAGTCTCGGGGAACAAGCACGTCAAAGCTATACCGTCGTGGGTGCCGGATTGGTCCGTGAGAATCCCATCAACATTTGGGTCACGTCAGCTTGGAAGATTCTGTGCATCGGGGTATCTGTCTCAGTCGACTCCTTCTTTCGCTTCAGATCAATATGGCAACAAACTCCTCGTTCTGACTGGTTACCGAGTTGACAGCGTGGCACTTGTATTGGATTGTCAATGGGATCCACAATGGAACATGAGTTTCGATCCCGATAGTCCGGTCTCTGCATTTCTCGAATCTCTCCAAAATTTCGGTTGCGAACGGAGAAGTGCTTACCCGACAGAAGAGGAGAGAAACGATGCATTATGGAGAACGCCAATTGCAGATTGTGATGCTGTTTTGGATGTGGTGCGAAAAATCCGACCGCCAGCAACGCCACGCATGAAAGATTCGTTCGACGCGCTCACGGGTGTCTCTAAAGGTGATAGTTCCTGGAGAGCACATCAGAGCATGCTATATGTCCATACTATGATGCTCGAGTCCGCTCGTCGAAAAGTTTTTATGACATCGCAGGGGTATTATGGACTTGGACAGGAAAGTTTGCACGTCGGAGACTCCATTTGTCTTCTATTGGGTGGAGATAGTCCATTCATCATCAGAGAGGCGGGAAATGGATATTGCGAACTAATTGGTGAGAGTTATGTTCATGGCCTTATGCATGGAGAGTTCCTTAGGACTGGACCGTCGATTGAAAATTTTGTGTTGTGTTGATTAGATAGATTGGAATGACGTGAAAGATTGCAGACAAGTAGTGACTCACGACAAACGCCTATGCTGTACTCAAATAGTTTGAGCTGCAACGCACACTTAGCTCAAACGTCCATTCTCGTAATTTGGACATTAGTGCGATTTGCAATGCAAGACTCATGCCTACCAACTTAGCGGCGTAGACTGTCGCTATCGATATTACTGCTCCAAGACATCCCTAAACCTGTAGTGGAAGTAGGTAGTATCAATCCAGGAGCTCAGGCTACAAGCGCCGACTTGCTAGATGAAGTATGTTGTACGCCTATTATGCCCTACGTTAAGCAGGGGATGTTATTGTTGCATCTTTAACACGCAACATGAAAGATTTACGTACGCACCTTAGATTTCCGTAATTTCGCTATTTCATGCTTGCAATAGATAGAGGCAGACCTGAAGAGTATTTAGAGATACACTTGCATCCAAAAAGTCTCTGGGGCTTGGGCGCAAGGCGCTTGAGCAAAGTTACTGGTTTGTTATGGGGGGACGTTCGGCCCACAGGGACGGACGTTGTAATTTTCCAATTTTCCAATTGTAACTGCATCCTAGCCATCTGATCTATTTTCATGCCATGTATGACTTGGGTTCTCTTCAAACTCCAAAGTCCTTGCTAACCTCTCTTCCTACTGCCTTCAAATTCTCAACAAGCCACAGCTGCTGATTACTAAAGATGAGCATAGCCCCTGGCAAGAAGGCAAAATTGTTGCTAGTGATTCCAATCCAAATTTTGCCGATCAAAGAACCAGCTGGATTCCATATGTTTATGCCATCTCCACAGCCTGCCCACAAGTTGCCCTCGGTATCTGTGTGTAGCCCATCAGCGATCCCCGTGTCCACATATGCAAATGTGCGCCTGCCTGCCAAAGACTTGTCATTATCGACAACATCGAATACATAGACCGTAGAAGGACGTGTGAGGTCTGTGTCGTTTTGGTAAACCCCAGAGTCAGATACATAAAGCGTCATGTAGTCTGGACTAAACTCGAGTCCGTTCGGCTGGAAGAAATCACCTGCAACAGCTTTGATTTCGCCCGTCGAGGGGGAGAAACGATACACGTGCTTGGGCAGGTTGGGCGGTGGCCGGAAACCCTTGTAGTAGCCATAGTCGGTGTCGGTGAACCAGATGTCGCCGGTAACAGGGTGTTGTCGCACGTCGTTCAAGCCACTGAAATTTCGCCCAAGAAAGTTTGTCAGAATGCGGGTTGAGGAGCCGGAAACGGGGTCTACGCTGACAAGACCGGCGGGATTGGTAAGATCGCCTTGATCGCAGTATAGTATGTATGGTGGTGTGGATAAGTCGGACTGTGTGCCTGGAGGATAGTACGCTGTTCCCCCGTTGGGTTCAGACAGGGAGGGGTATTTGAGTGAAGAGATAGTGTAGTTGTTTGCTAGGTCGACGGTAGTTACGTTGATGGGCTTGGACAGGTCGCCTGTCCAGTCACTCGTTATGTAAATCTTTTGGGTATCTTTGTTGTATACTCCTGCTTCGTGGAAAGCAGAGTAATCTAGGTTGTATAACTGTCGTGCCGTTGCATTTCCCCCGAGTATGGAAGCAAAGCTGGGGTTATAAGAGAGGAATTCGATCGTGGTTGGATTCGAGGCATTTGTCGAGACAATGCTGTTTAGGTACGAGGGGTTTGTCGCAAAGGACAGCAGATCAACGGGAGTAATGCTTGACATGATGGAAACGACAAAGATTGAGGCGCGAATGAATCCGAACAACACTTAATCCCATGGCCCAAAATCTCTCGGCACATGGACATGCACTAGTAGCTGCATGAGGCTGCTGATACCATTGCAGGGTGTCATGGCAGATGGAAGTATTGCATCACCAGTCCCCACCCTCTGACTTTGATTGCTCAGCCAGCAGCGCCAATGCTGGTATAGAACGAATCGTTTGGCTGTAGAATTTGAGTGTGACTGCTCCCTGATTCATACTGTGCAGCCATGATGCATGTATGGCTGTCGAATCTGGTTAAGTTGGTTGTGTGTTCCTAATGCCTGAGGGTCATGTACCTCAGTGCGGCTCATGCGATGGCATTGATCCCGATACATGCATTAGCTTCTTCGTCAAGTTGACCCGCGACTCAGGAGCAGTTGGCCGGGCATCAAGCTTATAACTTTGATTACTGCGTTATCTTTGCCTACAGCCTTTATCGTGAGTTTGTGCTGTTACATTCAGCAATTGTTTGTTTCCTGAGGGCTGCAGCGTGTGAGCACTACTACGTCACTGCGGGCGAATAGAGGTAGGATTGCCGAGGACATACATGAGAGTGACCATGAACGTTTCTTTTGCTGCCTCAAAAGTACTGAGCATCATACACAGTAGACTGGAAAAATTGATCGACATCTGCACGCATCTGCAACAACTATCAGTGTCCGATACTAAGTAGAGCGGTGCTACTAAGAGTTTGCCTACTTTGCGTCCATGTACCTGAACGAACACGCATTCTCTGTCTCTTCAGGAAAACTCCGTCCTGCGTACTATGCACGGCCATATGTATTTGTGTTCCGCATAAACGTGCTTGCGGGATTGGGGAGCCGGGTAGCATGCCATGGCGGCCAGTTGTCGAAGTGGGTGCATGTCAGCCCTGGAACCACTGGCATCACTGAACGCGATGCAAAGAATGGTAGGCAGGCTTCAACTAGTCATGGTTGACAGACAAGAACAGCACTGCTAGAATGGAATCTACATAACAAATGAGTGCAGTTGTGAGTAAAAAAACTAGCTCGTACAGTCTTCGGGTGTAAGGAAATTAATATCACGTCTACGCATAGAGCTCCCGCTATATGGCCCGACCCGCTAGTTCTTCGGTGTCCGGTTCCCGAGAAATGAGTTTCGGCGGGTTGGCGAGCATTGTCGCGACGGCGAACACGCGTTTCCTGGGCTGCGGGATGACATAATGAAGCTTCACCAACACACAGAGCAAAGTCTATATACCTTGGTCGTGCTGACGCAGACGTGCTGAAACTTCGACGCCATCTTTATTCTAATCTAACCACCAGCCATGGACCCTCTTCTCGCAGCCGCACAAACCGCTGCTGCAGACCTAGCCAGAACACCATCCCCGCCAAATACCCCTCCATCCGCCGCGACGCTTCCACCAAGCCGCCTATGGGCCATTGGCGACATCCACCTCTCCTTCAAAGGCAACCGTGAAGCCCTGGAAAAGCTCGTCCCCCACCCGCACGATGACTTGATCCTCTGTGGCGATGTCGGAGAGACGGCTGAGCACTGTCGCATGGCTTTCACAAAGGCCAAGGAATGCTTCAAGGACGTCTTTTGGGTGCCGGGCAACCATGAGCTATACACATTGCCTGCAAACAAGGAGAACGGCGCAAGAGGCGAGGCAAAATACATGGAGTGCGTGGAGATTGCTCGCGAGTTTGGCATTCTCACGCCCGAGGATGACTACATGCTGTGGCAGGGCGAGGGAGGGCCATGTCTGATTGCGCCCATTTTCACCCTGTACGACTACAGCTTTCGCCCGGATTCGGTAAAACTACAAGATGCGCTCGCGTGGGCCAGAGAACAAGACATTGAAGCGACCGACGAACACCTACTACATCCAGACCCCTACTCGTCGCGAATCGAATGGTGCAACGCCCTTGTAGACAAGACGGAGAAGAAGCTTGAAGCGGCTGTGGCTGCGCACCCAGACGTCCCGCTGATCATTGTCGGGCACTGGCCCTTGCGAGAAGATCTTGTGAAGCTGACCAAGGTTCCCCGGTTTTCGCTCTGGTGTGGCACCAAGCGGACAGAGGACTGGCATAACAAGTTCAATGCCAAAGTGGTCGTGTCTGGCCATTTGCATATCAGGAGGACAGATTGGATCGACAACACGCGCTTCGAGGAAGTAAGCTTGGGCTATCCAAGGCAATGGCACAATTGCGTGGAACATGGACTCGATATTAACGACTTGCTCCGTGAGATACTGCCTGGGCCCAAGACGCCGCCTGTAGGGGAGCGCCGGACTATCTGGAGACATTTCGGATGAAGGGTTGCGTGGCAGGCGCATTGGGGGCATCCATCACATCTTGCTGTGGCTGCAGGTACGTGCAAACCCTCCAATGGCTTGGTGCCCGCCTATCACGTTTATCCATCTACCAAGAATACCGCCGTACACCTTTCTTACTTTGACCTTGCGTTGCATCCGCTATTCCTTGCACCTGCCTAAAACGTTGTCCCTGCCCCACAAACCACTTGTCCAATCGCACCCGTGCACGTGCACTGTACGGAAGTCGCTCCCAAAAGTTATCGCCAGACCGGGGGAGCTCGGTTAGAAGTTGTTGCCAACAAGGGTGGGCAAAAGTTATTCGACCACGCGATAAGACGTTAAATGACCACGCGGTAAGCAGGGGTCGGCATTAGTGGGCTTGGCCGATACACTGGCGGTATTGTTAGTATCTTTTGCTGATATGGGCGTACTATACAAATTATAAGATTGTAGAGAGTGCTAGTATGTTAGCGCAAGGTTTGCAATAATCTGATATAAGAAAAAAGATGAAGCTAGTGGGTAGTACTGGTGGGCGACGGGCGCATTTTAAAGCCCTGTCGCGGGACCTAGCCCACTAAAACTATGCGCAATTAGAAGGTTTATAGGTAGCGGTAGCAGCGGTAGCTGGTAGCTTGGTGGAAGAGCTATATGAGGCTGACGGGATAGCTGGTAAGCGGGTATCTTAGCAGCGGGCTGGTGATGAGGCTGCTGATCGTGACGGTGAGCTGGAGGCTGCTGTGGGAGCTGCTGTGGGAGCTGCTGTGGGAGCTGCGGTGGGAGCTGCGGTGGGAGCTGCGGTGGCGGAATAATAAATATCCGACGATCAGTACGGAGGTGCCTTTCAAAAGTATTGTCTGCC